TTTTTTTTTTCCGCGCACAGGGCGCACCTCACTCAGCGCGCACACCACGCACAGCGGGCCGCACTGTGCACAGTGCGCGCGCTGTCATTCCAGCGCACAGCGCAGTGCGCACCGCCCCGCACTGCACTGCGCACTGGTGCGCCGCAACTATGCTTTTTACTTTCTTTTTTGAAGTTTTTCTTTTTTTCCTTCTTTTTTTTCTTTTTTTTTCTTTTTTTTCTTTTCTTTCCTTTTTTTCTTTTTTTTCTTCTTCTTTTTTTTTTTTTTTTTTTTTTTTTTCCAGCTTGAGTTTTTTGCCCACTGACAAAGTGCATTGGTCCAAAAAAGGCAACCTCAAGTTCCCCGCTGGCAAACCACAGAGGAAATTCCTGGCCATAACATCCATGAGATTAAAAAGAAAGTTCCCCGAACTTTCCTGGCAAAAACACCATAAGTCTATTCGGCCAGTCAAAATCAGAAGCCTTCAATGGTTGATCACCTACAATGCCCTCCCAGAGAACGTACGGTTACATGTCCGAAGGAAAAACAGCGACCCCTGAACAGGTCAGAAGAGTGCCTCGTGTGCTCAGAACAAGAGGACCTAGTACATTGCCTGCTGCTCACATATGGGCGAGAGCCTCAGCACTCTGGAACTATCTTTTTTCCTTCTTCCCGGCCTGAACACCCGATCCAACTACTCCTATGGACTAATATCGCTTCCCAATTCTCTGAAAATCTGAACGCATCTGGTTTGGAATAATCAGGAAGGTGACTCTCTGGCTCATCTGGAAGGAGATGTGTAACAGAACTATCGACAAGTCCAGCAGCAATCAGGCGGAGCAAGTCTGGGCATCAACGAGACTCTTTATGGAAAACTGATATCCGGTGCCAATGGAAGAAGGTCACAAACTCCAAATTTTTCAGCAGAATCCGGAGACGCAACGAGAAACGATATCCAGTTCGGGTGAAGACGGTAGTCAACGGGAAGATAGCAGACATTCACGCTCTGCAAATCAGATGGAAGGAGTGGCACAACTCAGAGACTCACCAAAGAACAAGAGCTTCTCTACAGGCTCGACAACAGGGCTACAGGAATATATGAGAGTCTTCAGTGTCTATTCACTTGAGCTAGGTTCTCTGGTTTTCTTGCAATAGTCGCATATCTGACAGGCCCCCATAGAGGAGCTTGAGAGGAATTTTAGGGAAAGGCAAGCTGACAGTCAATCCTCCAGATCTGTGAAGCAATCAATGCTGTTCAGGGACCCTTCGGCCAGACGGTAGGGAGCGTGTGTGTGTATATCGATGTAACTCCGTTCATACGACTTGCCGCGGGAATAGGAACCGTACTGACGCTCCCCAGAATGGATATGGAGCCAGGCCCATAAGGACCTGTTTTCTTTATATATATATATAATTAAAAAAAAAGAGAGAGATTAGGAGGGTTCGGTTGTGGCGGCCCCCCCCTTGACATACGTCTAGGACCGCAAGGGTAAGGCTGTCCCCTTTTCTAGAGATGTTTAGTGCAGTTGAACTCATGCTTGCCGGTGACAAGTAACCGGAGTGATGCCCCCCCGAACAGAAGCGGCTTCGTGCTGCTTTGAGAAACATATATATTTCTTTTTGCCGCAGCCAGAGAGCCGAGGAGCCAACAGCAAGTTCTAGTGAGAGATCTGGACTCTATTCCTGAGCCCTCGGAGCCCTTGCACAATCAATCCTTACACCACCACTACCTTTCACATGCACAGCCGAAACGTGAAACACGGATATACCACCACACACCGAATTCTTCGGGTGAACAGAGGTAGTGCTGGTGTACTATCAAAACGCCCAAAAACTGCACCACACAACCATTCATTCCCATCATCGCCTTCAACAACATTGTACACCCTTGCTAAACCCCCAAACCCAGACCGTTGACCGAACTAACTTCTCTCAGTTTGCCAGTAGTGCAGGTACATGATCCCCATCACCCGCCATCATCATCTTCCTCTTTGCCCTGTTGTGGATCCTCTTCCTCTTCTCCTCTTCTCGTGCATATACCCACCCTTTTCTCCCGCTTGCCACCATCGGGTTTTTTGTCCTGTTTTCAAGTTTGGACCATTTCCTTGTGTGTGATCCTTTCAAATCCTCTTCTCTGTATCGTTCCAATTGTAACGGATGTCCCGCAGGACACCGCTAGTCTCCATCGTGCATCTGATATACCCCCCTTTTCTCCCCCTAATCCATATCGTGCATCTGATCCCCTACCTCCCCCCACACTTTTCCTCCCAGTCCATCCCGTCTCCTCTTCTACCATCCACCATCTCCTTTCTACACCCTCCACCAACCCCTTCACCCTCTGACTGAGTACTACTCGCCCCTCCTTCTTGCCCATCCCCCGATGCCACCCCACTTCTTGAAAACAAGAGACCACATACACCACAACCCTTCAGCTTTCATCGCCTTTTCAAAGCAGGTACCCCGCACGCACAAATCCCCAAACCCTTACACCTTTCTTGTGTCCGCTTCTCATGGGTCAGGACCAATCTTCAATGGGCTACACGACCTCCCAACAACGTCCAGGGCTAAAACTACATGCAAACCCCTCGAGCGCAAATTCCCAAACCCTTCCACCTTTCAATGGGCTACACGACCTTCCATGGTACAGATTCCATTAGGACTTCCCCAGCCTGCCAAACCATAAGGACCCGGCGGTACTTTCCAGGCCCCCTAATTCATACAGTGCTGTATCCAATCCTTCCACTCGGTCTCCCCCCACGTGGTCTCCTCTTCAATCAGACCCTCCTTACTCACAACTTCGCCAGAGGAAAAGATCAGCGTTAACCCTTCCTCACAGGCAAGACAGGCAGCCCTCAAGCAGCCCCAAAGTACAGACCGTCTAGCACTCCCATCTTCACAGTACATGCTGTCAAAAACCACCAAACATCCGACCGATTGTTGCGAAACAAAAAACAAAGACATGCATTTGCAGGCCTCTGAAAGAAAAACAATTGGTGGTTGAAGGTTGGCGCATCAAATCCACTCCGTCTCTCAAGTCTTAGCAGAGAAGAACGGAATGGCATCGGAATTGGGAACTGGGAATCGCCAATCAATGCTCACAGTGGTCTCCCGGGGCGTAACGCGGGAGAGCGTGTCCAGGTCGTGTTCTTCTTCGAGGTACACTGGGCCCGGTTCCCGACAGGTGACACCCTCCACCTATAGACCAGGACTGTTTGTTTTTTTTAATAAAAAGGGAATTGAACGGAATTGGAATTGGAATTGGAATTGGAACTGGAATTGGGAATTGGGAATGGGAATTGGGAATGGGAATGCGAATGGGAATGGAAATGGGAATGCGAATGGGAATGGGAATGGGAAATGGGAAATGGAATTGAGGGTACCGCTAGCGTATTTGCCGTTGCCAAGCCCAAGTCGTTCTGGCAATGAGTGGAGATTATCACATTCTCAATCCCTGGAGTGTTTGCTCTGATATTAGCAATCAGGCGGCCAAATTCTTCCGGCATCGTGTAGCCCACGGTATCAGGGATGTTCAGCGTTGTCGCTCCCGCTTTTATCACTTCTCCCAAGATTCTGTACAGGAAGTCTGGGTCGGATCTGCAAGATTGATAGATTGATTATCAACATCAGTCTGGGTCGGGATCTGCAAGATTGATAGATTGATTATCAACATCAGTCTGGGT